TGCTGTCGAGTCGAGCCCGCCGAGTCGAAAACGCCACGGCCTCGTGTCGAAAACCAGGGAGACCCTGAGTCGAAAACATCTCCCTCCGGGGTTTAGGGTTTAGGGGTTTTGGGTTTAGGGTTTAGGGCCTCTGTGTTGTTTTCTGACTCGCCAGCCCTGCTCTCCGACAGACTGCGTTTCCGACTCCTTTTTCTGACTCGGGCGTCACCCACACACACACACACACACACACACACACACACACGCGCGCGCGCTGCGCTGATGGCATTTTGTGACTGTCAGGTGCTGAACGGCATGCCTACCAGCTGCGGGTCCCTCCTGGTGCGGTGGTGGAACTGGCAGGTGTCCCCGCCGAGGTTCCGTACAGCCAGACGCGGCCCGACGAGGAAGCCTCCGAGGACGAGTCGGAGGCCATCCAAAGGCCCATCCCCTACTTGGAGCGCAACCAGCCGCCTCCCGGGCCAGAGCCACTTGCAGCTCCAGCGCCTCATTTCCGAGCCGACGCCGCCGACGCCGCCGAGGGCGAGGGCGGCGAGGGCGAGGGCGGCGAGCGAAGAGACGAAGCGTCGACCCGACGCCGCGACCGGCCGCTGCGCCGCTGCGCCGCTGCGCTGCGCTCGACGCTGCGGGATGCAAACGGCACGTAGCAAAAAGAGGGCGGGGGGGGTCTATGCCGAGGCTCTTTTTGGGAATACCCAGACCTCTCGAAATCTTTTCAAAACTGCAGTGGAAGCAAGCCGATAGAGGCTGGACGTCTCCCAGCGTGAGTTCCATGCGCTCCAGTCGCAGGCAGGTTTGTGCTGGATGCTGCGGTGACTGGCTGTGCGCATGTGGTGAGAGCCAGGTGGGTGACAAGGACTCCTCCATCGAATTGTTACAGTCCCAACTGCAAGACTCCAAGGAGCCCGGTTTCTCTTCCTTTGCCTGCTCGTAAAGCAGAAGTGACAGCTGTGACAGGTTGCTGTGTCTAGCCATGCCTAGTCCGAGCCGAGATCTGGCTAGGAGTTGGTCCGAATCTACCGCTTGCGTGGTGACGATCTGGAAACAGACCTCAAGCCAGGACCTTGTGCAAAGCTTGTCCACCGATGTCCAAACAGCTCGTTTCAGTCGGATAGTCTTCTGGGGATTGTTGGTTTCCTTCCGACGACACACAATCTGTGCCAAGGGCTTCGCAGCAGCGCGTCACTGAATCTCAAGATCGCGAGTATTTGCACAAAGTGGAATGCGACAGGCCTTGGTTTTGCTGGACTCCTGACCCTCCACCCAGTTGGATTTGGGCAGGCTTAAGGAAAAGTTGGCAAAGGAGCAGGATCGGAGAGTCAGGAAAATGCATCAGTCGAGCATAGGCGTGCCTTCGAGCTGGGTCGCGCAGGCAGTGGTTTCCGACCTTTCCGAGAAAGTTGAGTTAATGTCATCACAGATACAAGAAAGCCAAGCTGCGTGCGCCCTCAGTCATTTGTTCCACATCGTGGATGGAATTTGCGCATGCATAGGAATTCCCAGCCTATTCGCTGAAAACCAGAGGTACCTAAGTGCGGTCCAGAGAGAGGAGGTGCTCAAGGAGCAAGTAAACAAGTGTTGGGCTCAGATGGCGCTTCCAAGTCAGTTCCACAGCAACGCCGCGTTTGAGGTTCGAGGAGAAGCTGCAGGCTGGGTGGCGGAATAGTCGCTGGATCTCGCCTGCTGTCCTCGGTTCACCTAGATAGAATCCATGTCCGTAGCAGCCGTAGCAATGAGGAGGGAACAGCTGGAACTTAGTGCAATGCAGCGAGTTGTGTAGTTGTTGAAAGGCTCGAAGTCGTCTATGACTAAGACTCTTGCAAACGATCCCTAAGTCGAGGATGCCACGGAACGTGGCGACGTTCTGGAGAAAGGTCCAGGGCTGGGCTTGTTGCTGCACACGACAAGCTCTTGCATTGCTGGGTTGCTGGCAAAGTGTCAGGCTTGAAACACGTAGAAGGAGAACGTGAGGTGGGGGATCACCGGGTGGCACTGTCACAACAGAAACATCGGGCCGGGGTACTGTGCAGGTCTACAAGGGACAAACTCACGTTCTGTGGCTTGGCAGCATGTGTATTGGACCGTAACCTTCATGGCCTTCCAGGAGGATGCATGCCTACTCTGTGCTTACTGAATGTCAAGACTGAAAGTGCCTGGACTCGAAAAGGCGAGAAGACCTCCTCGATAAGCAGACAAAGCTCCGTTCTCAGGAGATCGGGCGGTTGGCTGAAGTTGGCGCCGTCAGCTCACGGTCGCGAAAGAAGCTAAAGAACTGATGCTGTTTCCGAAACACGAGCATCGTGCGAATTGTTGTCTCTTCTTCTGTGTACATGGTGGGTCAGAAAGTCGCAACGGAAAAGACGCCCTCATTGCACTTCTTGAAATTCTTTTGCACGTCTAGAGCCTCTGGGACAGACTACTCTCGCACACATGTCCGCATGCACTCTCACGCACATGTCCGCATGCGTGCTTGCGTATGCATGGATGTTTTTGGTCACACCTCTCGCATGATCCACGCCTGCTCCTGCTTCCATTACTGCTTGCATGTGTGGATACTACAATTGACCGTCACTTCTGCCGTTGTATGCTGTCGTCGATGTTGTTGAGCGGCTTCTCTTCACATGCCCCTGAAACTGGGTTCCCAGACAGTGCAGCACTTAGGCAGCTCCAGGTCCTGAGGGCTGCACAGTCTGTAAGTTTTTGGGGGCGCCGCGCTGTTATTGGTTCTTCGATCGGCAATAAAAGGGACACTGCTTTCCTGCCGAGGTCAAACGCTCGGAGACACTCTGAGCATTGAAATGTGTAAACTCCTTGTCCAGACGATGTTTCAACCTTGCTGATGTGGCACTGTGTGTCGGTCAAAGCGACTCTGGATGGAGGTTGAAAGGCCTGTGATGCTTCATGTCTTTGCAAGGGTGTCTTAACACCTCCGGCAACCGGCACCAAGCTTCCGTTGCACTTGGTGAGGCCGTAAGGCACGTGCCTGTCCCTCGGATCGGCCAGCCCAGGCTCCGCAGTACGAACAAGGACCTTACCATGACCGTGCTCGCCTCAAGCTTTTCTCGCTTGTTTGCGGAAGGAATCGCTCGATGACATGTAGCAGCACTTTTCACAAGGCAGTTGACCTCGAGAGTCTCAAGGCGTGGGGACACAAAGAGCGAGAACATGTGCAGAGCTCGCGCTCAGCAACTTTTCCTGAGAAACAGCCGGTGCGAGGAATCCCATGAAGGAATGGCAGAGGATCTTAAGAAGCTGGCTTCCCGGCGTTTCTGAAATTGTTCAGAAATTGCAAGCTCGTGCCAACACTTATCCTGTTGTCTTTGGATGCTCCGAGTTGTTGAGGTCGAAGAAGCAATATGCCGAAGCGGCCCTTCGTGTAGAAAGCCTTGAAAAGGCGCAGCCTGAAGCACTGTGTAGTTCCTGAGTCATAGATTTCTACACGTCCTGTCAATGTGTCGAAGTTCCAGTGCCGTCAACAAAGTGCGTCCGCATGCAGGAGTGTCAAGAGGCTAAAGCCCAGTTGGAGATCAAGGAGAGGCAAGCTGCTGGGCAACTCAGACTCCGAGAAACTCCTCGCGAGCAGATTAGCAGCCAGTCGGCCAGTCGAGATCAGTCGAGATTAGTCGAGATCAGTCGAGGCGAGGCTCGAAGTGGTTGTGGAGGAGCTGAATGTGAAGCCTGCAACTGAATGCTCCAGAAGCTCCTGATACCTGCTCGACCTACTCTGCTGTTGCCTGAGGCTTGAGGATGCAATCCTGGAGTACACCGAGGAAAGGAAGCAAGCGAAGGATTATGCCACTCGGGGCGCGTGAGATCAGTAGAGTCTGCAACAACCGTCCAAAGCAGAGTGGCCCCGCAAAGGCAGAGAAGCTCCACAGCAAAGACTCCCAGGTCAAGAAGATAGCAACAGAGGTTGCCCAGACGATGCAGATTGTCGGGTATTTTCGTAGAAAAGAGGAACTTGATGGCAGGCGACCTTCTCCAAGGATTCAGTTCAGCGGCTCTGCAGTGACATCAAGCAGTTCCAGGAGACGAGGGAAACTGGTCAACTGCACCTTGGGGCGAACCGGCAGTCCTCAGGACAGAGAAGCACAGCTCAAAGAGCAGATAAGGAGTCTAGAAGGCACCGTGTCGGTCCTTGCTGCGGTGCAACATGTAGCCCTGCCTGGCATGTCAAGATCGAGACCGCTTACAGGTGAAATCGAGAAGTGGAAGCAGCGACTTGAAGAGTCTCAGGGGGAGGCTTGAGCTTTCAGGGTCCAGTGAAGCAGAGAGCCCTCTGCAAATTGTAGGTCTCCGAGTTGAAGGATGTCAACTGGCGAATCGCAGAGGCCCCGTCTCGGGTATGACCATTCAGAGAGTATTCAGAGCGATTGTAGTTGAAGGACCTGCAGAAGTCCAAAGTGAGCCTCAGAGAGGTGGAGGTCCCGCAAGCAACTGCAGCGGTTCACGTCCTGTCGCTTTGCGCTGCGTTGCTCTGCTTTTCGACGAGGCCATGGTCAAGAAAACGACCACCGAGCTCAAATCTGGGAAAGGTCGCATGGTGGAAGCGGAGGACCCGCCCGATTACACTCCGTCGCCACCGTGACGTCATGCGCAGCAATCAGGCAAGGAACATCGAGTTAAGCGCAAATGTGGCGAAGCTGATGGAGGCGTTGTCCAAGCGGTGTGTCCTTGTATGGTAGCAGAAAGTGGTGAGGCAATGACGCCCCCCAGAATTCCTTGCAACAGGCCTTGGTGCAGGCCGAGGCACGAGAGAAGGAGGCCAGGTACAATTGTGTTTGGGTGCCGTTCTTGTGCTTCAGCAAGTTGACGCATCTCCGTCCGGTGCACCCATGAGGCTTTAGAGCTGCTTGCCGAAGGCAAAGGTCCGAATCCCGCAGTGAGGTGTGATAGTGCGTGAGTCGGCAAAGCTGTCGAGTTGCAGGACCGGAGAAGGAACGAAAGAAGAAGAAGAATATGCAAAGGTCACGGACGACTGCCAGCGAGCTGATGGCTGGCAGATGATTTGTTCACGACAGCCAAATCACGAAGTCAAGTGCTCGTCTGCTGGCGCAGTAGGCCATGCGCTGCGCAGAAGCTGGAAAACTGTGGATAGAATTTGGAGACCTGCTACCGCAAACGTGGAGCAAGGACATGACTTAGTGTGGGCCCTGTGTTGGCAGATCTGGCCCGAGATCTGGCAAAGAGGGCCAGTCGGAGTCACAGAAAATGACTCCAAAGGGTTCAGAGGGCCAATCGCGTGGCAGAGCATCCGGGGAGCAATGTTCGACGTAATAACGAGGTCTATGGTTTCAGTACGAATTTCAGCTTGGACCAAAATCACCAGGTTGCTTCATTTGTGTTGATAATACCCGACAGCTTTGGGATGCTGGCCAGGGGCAGCTTGGTAGCCCAACTTGCACACTGTCGACCTGTTGAAAATATTATGCGCGACGAGCAGCTCGCCAGCCCGCACAGCTTCCTTTGCTGCGGGAGCAGGTCCTCCAACGGCTTTACCCAGCTGTGTCGGAGTCGCCATTGCTTCGGCCTCGGGAGATCCCGCCTCGCGGGCGGACATCTGCATTTCGCCACGTGTGAATGTCTTAGGCCTGACTTCGCGTCGTACCCGGAGGCACTGCAGCACGACAGATGAAGCATGAACCATTTCACTTGCTCTCCTTCGATTCTTTCGGTACTCCATGGCTGCTCTGCATGCGTGCAATGAGTACGCATGGTCAGGCCTTCAACGACATGTCTGTGATGACTTTTCCTCTGAGCATGCTACAAGCGATGCAGATGGGAAGGAAAATGGAGCAGAGAGCAGCGGTAGAGGAGGTCCAAACGAACAAACATGCTGCTTCCGAATCCTGTCCTGCTGACATCGCTGGCCCTGGTAGACATGCAGAACAGAAAGGCACGCCATGACTACATCCTCAGATTGCCGCTTCTAAACGTCATCCTGGAACCACAAAATCGCAACCATGGACAAAGCTCCGGTCTTATCGCTCGAGCCACGCACAAAGGATCGTTGCAGCCACGCGAGAGAAACTTCATCTCATCACCTCATGCCAGCTTGCAGTAAGTGCTAGCTAGGCTAGCTAGCTTCAGCTTAAGCTTGCTCCCTTGGCGGCCGGTTCGGCCTCTGAGCACGGCTCAGCCGTGGATGGGACGTTGCCGCCATGCCCGGGACATGGTAGAGCAAAGACCAGCTGTCGTAGAACGACAGATCTTCCAGAGTTTTGTCTCAGCTTCGCACATTCCCAGGCTGCACCACTTCTCCTGCAAGGCCCTGCAGCTGCTTCGAAGATTCCCAGAGATTTTGTTGGCGCAGGCACAAGCCCTCATGCTGGAAGCTTGGCTCACAACAAGGTTAGAAGATTTTGAGTAAGCTGATGGCTCCGATGGCTGATGGCAAGCGCATCCGCTCACGCGGCAATGCCGTGGCGCTGTTGATCCTGGCTGCTGTCGCCTTCGAGGCCTTCCAACTGACCTTCAGTGCCCCGCAGACAACACGGGCCCCAGGATTTGGAGCTTCGAAGCACCCTGGGCACCTTGGGCACCTTGGCGAGGCCCGGTCGGTCGCAGTAGCTGCCTCGGAGTCCGAGACGGCGGGGTCCCAAGCCTACTTCACCGGAATCGGCTGGTATCTGATGCACTTCGTCGTAAGCATCTGCAACGACGGCATCATGAAGTTCTTGGGTGAGAACCTGCCTCCTTTCCAGATCGTCTTCTTGCGATTCTCCGCAGCTGCACTCGTCTTGCTGCCAGTGCTGGCGATTCAGGGGAAGAGCGCTTTCAAGTCGGCAAGGCTTTCCATGCATGCTGGACGGGGAGCACTTCTTGCACTGGGCATTGGCCTGTGGTGCTATGGCCTCAGCATCATGCCTTTCGCTTCATGTGTCGTCATTAACAACACCATGCCTTTCTTCAAGATGCTCTTTGCGCAGCTCATTCTTGGGGAGACAGTTGGCAAGCAGCGATGGCTTGCAAGCCTTGCAGGTTTCATAGGCTGCATAATTGTCTTCAATCCCACAGCCGCAACCTTCAAGCCTCAGTCTCTGGTGCTTCTTCTGTCCGCGTGCTGCTTTGCCATGCTCGACATCTTCAACAAGAAGTACACAGCATCTGAGACTGTGACCTCGATGCTGTTCTATGGCGCCTTGGCCACAGCTGCCATCTCCGCGGTGCGTGCAATTCCAAACTGGGTCCCTGTCACGGGACCTCAGATGGCCTTGATTGGATGCTTGGGAGTTGGTGCGAACTTCCTGCTTTTCTGCTTGCTCAGGGCCTTCAGGTACGTGGATGCCTCGGCAACCTGCCCGTACCGGTACACGGAGTTTGTGCTGTCTGCTTCTGTTGGATTCTTCCTATTCAAGGAGATGCCATCCAAGTCGACATTCCTCGGCTCCTGCATCATCCTACCATCAGTGATTTACACTGCGCTCGTCGAGAGCAGACAGGCCAGTCAGGAGCAGCAGTCGGAGGACAAAGTGGAGGCTTGAGGGGAAAGTGTAAAGACTTGGACGATGTGTATGCGCGACTCTTTGCACAGCAGACATTCTGTCAGCTTCGACTTCGAAGTTGCAAATCTTCTGGCCGTGATTAGGCCGACTCTCGCATGAGAACACTCCTGTATTCCTGTCTTCAAGCCACCGAGTCTCCGGCAAGGTGACCAGGTCGTTTCGAGATGTTCCTAAACGTTTCACAGGAACCCCAAAGCCCGAGAGCCGAGGATGTAGGGAGCCTAAAAAGGAGCGCAATTTGAGGCGTGTTCTGGCGTGTTCTGGCTTTGCTTGCGAGCGCTGATGTTGGCATCTGGCTTGGCATCTCGCACCAGGCCGGGGCCCTGCGGGCGGCTCGGAGAGCCTCCAGGGCGGCCTGGCCGGGGCCGGGGCCGGGGCCGGGGCCCTTGTAGCCGAAGCCACGGATTTGTCAAGCGTGTTTTGGGCTGGTGTGGCCGACTGCCTCAGCTGCCGGTATTCATCTCTTCGCTTTGACTTTGAGCTTTTGGATGGAAGTTGAGACCCTGACTGTAGTCAAGGTTTTCAGCCTCTCTTAGCTCTCTGCTTGTAGGGGTTCGAGGTGAGAACCTCGCACATAGGCTGTTCTCAGGCTGTTCTCGAAAGCACGCATTCATCAACACCACCCACTAGAAACTTTTGTCATGGAGTCGAACTGCCTTTCGGCAAGGTGTTGTGTCCTGCGCCGTGTCGCTGTGTCTATGACATGTTTACCTGACCAGACCCTGTCCACACCAGCCACTGGTGCGGTTTGCTGCGGATACTTCTACGTGGAGTAGACAACTCTGGTACTGTTTTGAGGAATGCCCTTGGGTCCCAGATGGCGTGGTCGCGGTCCTTGGCAGTTGGAGGTTTGGAGCGCAAGGCGCGAGATCCGCGAGATTGCTAGATCTCACGGTCGGCGATGGTAGCGTCGTAGCGGCATGGAAGGTCACAGAGCCTTCGCTCCACGACCGGCCTTTCCGGTTGGAAGAAATACCAGGCACAGGGCAAAGGGCCCAGAGGGCGGGGTCTGAATTCGAAGCAGAGGCCGCGGCCTCGGTGCTGTGGCCACGAAGGACCTTCTGCCGTGACCTTGACGGTTCTGAAGCAAAATGACGAAATCTCTCGCTAGAAAAGGCTTCAAACTGTTCAGCTGCAGGCCGGGTGATGTGGTGCTGCTCGAACGCCCTATCTTGGCAATTCGCAGTGATGAGAAGGGCACGAAGCCTACAGTACCTCACCTCCTTGTGCTTCTGTAGTTTTCCGCCATTCGCCGTCTTAAGCATCCCTCGTGCCGACTTCTCGTAGTGATGTGACTGCTCTCAGGCGATGAGTGGAATCATGACCTTCACAGCCAGTGCGCGCAAAGTGTGCGTGGTTGTCCGTGCCTTTGACAGATACCAGTCTTCCAGGTACAAAGCGCTCTCTGAAGAAGGCCGGGCAGAGGTCGACGAGCTCAGCCGTGAAGTTTTGCATCGTCGGACTGGCTTTTGGCTCGTTACTTTCCATTCGGGCATGTCATGTGCTGTTGGGCGGTTGGCAAAGGCGGTGCTGTGGCTTTTTTCTCTGGTCACATCTCGTGAGGTGTGGAAGCTTCATGACGCTTGCCTCCAGAAGCCGGAAAAGTGGGCTCGGAAGGAACTCACGGGATCGAAAAGGTAGCTTTGAGTCCTTGCAGGTCTCTGGAAGGCATTTTGTTCACAAACTGCATCGGCCGAGATCAAAGTGTGAGGCAGGAAGTCGTCACTGACAGTGATTCGGGATGGATGGGGACAACGGCACTGCAGGTTTGATGCAGCCCTGTGTTTGGCGTTGAGTCGGTTCAATCACAGTTGCTGCCCAGCCCCGAGCTGCATCCCATCAGCAGCGGCTTGCGGTAAGTCTTGTAGCTTTGGCAAATTTTGGCAACTTACAGCGAGCTTCCTCCGAGGCCCAAATCTCGAGCAAAGCTGGGATGAAGATGCTGGGCATGTTCTTAGCTCAGGTGATGTCCGTGTTTGCGTGACGTCGTTGAGCCTCACGAAGGTCCGGTTGGTCGCCGCGCAGCCGGTCAAGGCGGGCGAGGAGCTCTTCACGCACTACGCGCCAGCCACGGATCTCCACGGATCTCCACGTCCTTCCGTGGTCTTCCGGGCCCTTCCGGCGCTGAGGTGGAGTTGAGGGATTCCCGTGAAGAGCGGCAACAACGGCTCCAGGAGTCTTACGGCTTCCTGCCACCGGCCTCAGCAAGGGCCGGTGCAGTGCCACCAGACCTTCAGCTTCGGCCCTGCCGAGAATGTCCTGAGGTGTTCCAGCACCAACACATGTCCGGTGTGCTCGGGCTCGGCGGAGAGCGATAAACGGCGGTCCGTGTCCAAGCAAACTAGGCAGCCAGGCCGACATGTTGATGCAGTTTCAGAAGTGGCCAGGACCGAAATGGGGCGTTCGAGGCTCAGGAGCTCCAAATACTCTCAAGACATCTACTCTCTCCTCTCGCCATAGGCCTCCCGGGTCTTCTGCTGTCCCCGTAGCTGTTTTTCCTCACTGGCACCAGAGCCTGAGTGCAGAAAGCGGGCTTTTCGTGCTCGATTGTCCTTTGCGCTGTTCGCGGCGCCGCTCTCTGATCCTTGCTGCTCGCGACCTCCACCTCAGCCTTTGCCGGGATTCTAGTTCCTGGAATCTGACTTTTGCGAAGCCGAGATGGCCAATGGGCCAAGCCTACGGCGGAGACTAGCGGTGCTCGGGCACACTGCACCTTGTGGGATCTCCCCTCATGTACAGGGTTTCCGCATCTTTCCGCTGTGACTCTCACGGGTCAGTGCCCTTGACCTAGAGGGCACGCAAGAACCTGGCAGCCTGCTGGCTCCTGGGTCCGTACCTGTGATGCAGCAGGCGAGAGGAAGCGGAAACGCTGTAATGTCTTTTATTGCTAAGTCCCGTAGCATACCTTCTTATACCTTCCTCAAAACCCGACTGCGGGAGCAGTTCTGTTTCATCAATGCCCCTTTCTTGCAATTCCTTCGAAGTCGCAAATCATGACTAATTTTGCATTACCGTGAGACTGGCTAATTGAGAAGCAGCTTGATGCTGGGCCCTGCTGACGGAGAAGAAGGGAGTCCCCCCAAAGCCAAGCTAACATGCTTCACACCACCAAGCTTGAATCAAGACTGCTTGAATGGGTCGTCGAGCTGTCGTAAGCAGAGATCCGTGCGGATGTGGATGAGGAATATGCATTGCTCACACTTCTGTTTTTGCATGCCTCATGAGCTCCACTCGTTTCCTTCGTCGACAGCTGCCAGACATGGGGATCCAAAGGGGCATGCATAGGGGTCAAAGCACCACCTTCTTGTTCTTTACATTGTCCGGTTCCCGGATTTGGGCGGTGCTTTGAGGCTTGGATGCGAGCATCCGGAAAGATCGGTTGAGCAATCTCGAGCAGAGTGAAAGGGCTACGGCCTCGGACCGGACTTGCATCGTATCTTTGAGTCCCGGAACCCATGACATAGAGGTTGGCACGAGGGCTTTGGGAGTTGATGTGAGCCGGTAGGCGAAATTTCCGAAGGAGGACCGATTGCGGCCATTGTTTTTTCGCTTCTGTGGCCATGGTTTTTGTTCCCCACATCTTTGTGTGGGGTTCTTACTTTTACTGCTGCCGTCCGCCCGCCTTCCGCCCGCCGTCCGCCACACCCACACCCACACCCACACCCACACGCACACGCACACGCACACGCCCAC